GATAGATAGATAGATAGATAGATAGATAGATAGATAGATAGATAGATAGATAGATAGATAGATAGATAGATAGATAGATAGATATAATAAAATTAACTACTACTTACTACTTGTACTACTATTCCTACTTCGCGATTTTTCACTAATCGTGGATCTTCAGGGTATGGATCCCCCGCGATAAACGAGGGACTACTGTATATATTTCTAAATTAAATCATAAATTATTTCTTACCTACATTAAATAATATTGCATAATAATCTGTACTTTATATGTTCTGTCTGGAACAGGTCTCTTGTAAATGAGTCTTCATGGCTCATTGAGACTAATCTGTATAAATAAAGTTTGAATGAGTGTTAATCCTGATTAAATCATCAGTATTTATTCAGTCTAGCAGCTGAGCTTCACAAACTCCTGTTTATGCAGGTTTGTTTTTGTATCATAACAGACTTCTAATATTTGAATAAAATATCTGTTTTTCATCCCCAGCAAAGTTTGGATCCAATCGATGAGGTGGCTGCCCTGATTGCTGCTACGGTGCACGACGTGGACCACCCAGGGCGCACCAACAGCTTCCTGTGCAACGCAGGAAGTGAGCTGGCCATCCTCTACAATGACACGGCGGTGCTGGAGAGCCACCACGCCGCTCTGGCCTTCCAGCTCACCACGAGGGACGACAAGTGCAACATCTTTAAAAACATCGAAAGGTGGGAGACCATGGCTGCAGGAAACAGTTTTTTTTTTTTTTTATCACGGCTGAATTATTACTTTTACCACTGTTTAAAAACAAGTTCCTGTGGTCCAGGTGTAATTTCTATGGTCTATGTTTGGTATATATGGTCCAAGTGTGGTTTCTATGATTCAGGTGTGGTTTATGTGGTCCAGGTTTAGTTTCTATTGTCCAGGTGTGTTTTCTATAGCCTAGTTGTGGTTTCTATGGTCCAGGTGTGGTTTATATAGTCTAGATGTGGTTTCTATGGTCCAGGTGTAGTTTCTGTGGTCCATGTGTGGTTTATATAGTCTAGGTGTAGTTACGGTGGTCCAGGTTTAGTTTCTATGGTGCAGGTTTAGTTTCTATGGTCCCGGTATAATTCCCGTGGTCTAGGTGGGGTTTCTATGGGAAGAAAAACATGTAAATGATATAAATAATTGCAAACATGAACAGCAGAGTGAGGAAATGTGGTCAGTTTGTCCTCCAGCAGTCTAAGTCTATAGCAGCATATCTAAGAGATAGCTCAGGAAACCCAATCCGACCCTAACTATAGGATTTATCGAAAAGGAAAGACTTAAGCCTAATCTTAAAACTAGACAACGTGTCAGCCTCACGGACAGAATCTGGAAGTTGGTTCCACAAGAGAGGAGCCTGATAACTGAAAGATCTTCCTCCCATTCTACTTTTGGAAACTCTAGGAACCACAAGTAAACCTGCAGTCTGACAGCGAAGTGCTCTTTAAGGATAATATGGAACAGTAAGATCTGTAATATAAGATGGAGCCAGGTTGTTTAGAGATTTGTAGGTTAGAAGTAAGATTTTGAATTCTGTTCTGGATTTGACAGGGAGTCAATGGAGAGAAGCTAAAACTGGAGAGATGTGATGTCTCCCACTAACTCCAGTTAAGACTCTGGCAGCAGCATTTTGGATCAACTGAAGACTTTTTAACCTCCTAAGACCCGAACTCTTGCATATGTGGATGCCAGATCCTAGAAGTATTTGGACACCCAGATAACAAACCATTGCAATAGTCCAGTCTAGACGTGACAAATGCATGAACCAGTTTTTATGCATATGTTTTGGACAAGATGTTTCTAATTTTAGAGATATTTAAAGACTGTTCTAGTTTTTCTGACCACTTAAACTTTGTTCACTCTACAAGTCACATCGATGAGGGGCAACTTGGAAGATCAGTTTTTCAACCACTTCATGTGTTTAGAGGGGGCTGATTGAACACTGATTGGAAAACAACAGTCTGTCTTTCCTGAGATTAAAAAAACTTTTTTATGTGTAAAGGGGTAAAATTAAGAAAACTCTTTTCCTTTACGTTTTCCTAAAACATCAGTGGTAAAAAAAAACATGTAGTGCATGAGGGTTTTTCTTTTCGCTGTGTTTTTGTGCGTTAACAGTGATGGGACAAAAACGTGATTTGAGTCTCAAAACAGAACAGCCCCCAGTCCCCTCAGTGGGGGCGGGGGACGAGGAACAAAGCAGCCATTCATGGTCTCCATCGCTGCCGTCAGAAGGAGCAAACTGTTTCCACGGGTCTCCCTGTTATTTACCACCATGTCACTGTTGTCTCCGTGTCCTCTCCCCCTCTTGGGTCTGTCCGTTCCCCTTCCCTCCCTCCAGGAACGAATACCGAACGTTACGGCAGGCCGTCATCGACATGGTGCTCGCAACCGAGATGACCAAACACTTTGAGCACGTCAACAAGTTTGTGAACAGCATCAACAAGCCGCTGGCTGCTCTGGAGGAGAACGGGGTGAGAAGGGAAACAAACGCTTTATTGAAATAATGTCAAAGAACAGGAGCAGCTGGAGTTTTTAGGTCCTCTCAGTTTGCCCGATCCGTCTCCTGTAGAGCAGAAATCCTTGAGAGGAGAGAATTTTACGACCTGGTCCCATCTTTCTCATGTCTGTGTGGAATGCTCAGACCGGGCTTTTAAAGGTTTCACATCTTAAAGGCAGACGGTGCTGATAAACGACACACTGCAGAAAAATATTGATGCAGATTTTATAAAGGTTTAGTTTAATAAAGGACGACTTTTATCTAAAGTTGAACCATTTTATCCTTAAAGAGCTTGTCCTGAGGTCCGGGCTGGTCCTTGTCT